GCAGAAATTTTCTGTTTCGGTGATATTTTTTTCAATTTCAGTGTGAAACTTTTAAAGTTTTCAATTTTTATTTCAAGGGCCACGCCGAAAAGGCTCAGCCCCTGACAAATGAAGTTGAACTCAGGGTTGGGTTCTGACCCTGCGTTGGCGTTACTCAAGAGCCTGGGGTGTAATTACGCTAATTATCAAAGAAAATTAAAAAAATGGAAGCGCTGGGCTGGAAAATGTCAAATTTATGCGCTGGGAGGCGGGGCTGACCTGGAGGTGCTGCTGGTGCTGTTGCTTTTCTTGGCCTTTTTGGGCAGCGGTTCCTTGGCTTTGCTTTTCTTGGCGTCCTCCAGCTCCTCCTTCTTTTTGTGCTTTTCCTTTTTCTTCTCTTTTTTGTCTTTTTCTTTTTTCTTTGGTTTGTTCTGCTGGGGTTGGGACAGGGCCGCAAGCTGTTCGTGCACCGCTTTCAGCTGAGAGGCACACACACACACACACACACACATACAAAAGATCAAGATATTTTTGCCCGGCACCTCCATATTAATTAATTAACTCCACATCAATTAATTCCATACGAATTAATTTTTTTCCTCTATTCCCTAACATGTTCTTAGCTTTTCCTATTAATTCAATCTTCCAGCTTCCCATCGCACCCATTTCTGTATATTTTGCATACTAAAATTCTGCATATTTGTACATTAAATTCTGTATATTTATATATTTATCATTTAATTTCACAGCAATTAATCTATTCCATATTAATTAATTTCCCCATCTATTCCCTAACCCTTTCCCAGCTTTTCCAATTAATTAAATCTTTCAGCTTCCCATCGCACCAACTTTTTTATATTAAAATGTGGCATATTTAGATATTAATTCCATATTAATTAATTAATTCCATATTAATTATTTTTCCTCTCTATTCCCTAACCCTTTTTACACTTTTCCAATTAACTAAATCTTCCAGATTCCCACTGAACTGATTTTTGTATATTTCTTATGTAAAAATTTTGTATTTGTATATTTTGCATATGAATTATTTTCATATTAATTAATTCCATGTTTTTTCTCTCTATTCCCTAAAGTTTTCTCAATTTTTCCAATTAATTAAATCTTCCAGCTTCCCATCACACCAATTTTTGTATATTTCGTATACTAAAATTTTGTATATTTGTATATAAAGATTCTGTATATTTGTATATTAATGAATTAATTTTGTACACTAAAATTCTGTATATTTTGTATATTTGGACATTATATACATATGTTTATTCTGTATATTAATTATTTTCATATTAATTAATTTATTCCATAATAATTAATTTCCCCCCTCTATTCCCTACCTCTTTCTTAGCTTTTCCTATTAAATCTTCTGGCTTCCTAGCACACCGATTTTTGTATATCCTGTACATTAAAATTCTGTATATTAATAAATTAATTCCACATTAATGAATTAATTCCAGATTAATCAATCTTTCCTCTATTCCCTAATGCTCTCTTAGCTTTTCCTAAATTAAATCTTTGGCTTCCCATCGCACTGATTTTTGCATATTAAAGTGTTGCAAGGACACAACCTCTTCACGGGTTTCTCGCCTCGTTAGCGCCAGCCATGCTTTAATTACCAGCGCTAACGATGACGTGAAGGGGGAAGATGTGGTTGGACCATGAGGTTTCTCTCACGCTGGGGAAATCCTTACTCCAAAAACCCCTGAGTTGAGGAATTTTGGTGTCTCCTGATTACCCAGAAGCCACCACCCAAGGCCCTTGGTGGCCATCTTCGATGTCGGCCATCTTGGACGTCCTACCAGAAAAATCTCCCTATTTTTTTTGCGTTTTCCTTGACAACTACCAATTTCTGTAGCACCTTCCAGTTGCTGGTCGCTGTTGTACAACTGGAAGAGTCTACGGCTTCAAGGAAAGTCCTCGAGGCCACCAAATTGGAGGACACGTTTGAGACCCCCAAGCCAAGATGGTGGAGGAGGTGGTACCTGCTCCTGCAGCTCAGCCAACCGCTGCGCGCGCTCCTCCTCTGAGTCGTCCGAGGAGCTGTCGCTGTCAGAGGAGCTGTCGCTGCTGCTGTCGCTCGACGAAGGGGGAGCCACCTTGGTGGGAGGCGGCACCACTGCGGGAGAAGAAGCCGGGATCACCGGCTCTTCCGGTTCGTCCGGCATTTTGGCGAAGCGCATCTCGAACACGTCCTGGAAAGAGAAGGAAAACAATGCACAGGTTGGTTGAGGCAGATATTTGACGCGACGTTTCCCATTATCCCATCAACATTAAAGCCACTTTTTTCTCCTACAACTCGATACAAAAACCCATTTTCATGGAGACCCAAGACAAGGCCAACAACGTAGGACACCCCGGTTGTGTTTCTCGGTGATTTCACTTCCAGGAAGGCTTCTAAGCACCATTTCTGAGCTTCCCAAAAGAGGAATGAGCGCCACTTCCATCCAAAAAAAAAGAGTTTTTTCAAAAAATCACCACAACAGAATCCCAGCATGTCAGGAGTTGGAAGGGACCTGGAAAGCTCCCCCAGTCCAATCCCCTCAGAGCAGGATCACCAGAGCAGTCCCACAGGAACACGGCCAGGGCTTTGGGGGTCTGCAGAGAAGGGGATCCCAAAACCTCTCTGGGCAGCCTGGGCCATGCTCTGCACCCTCACCCTGACAAAGTTTGTCCTCATGTTCACATGAACCTCCTGTGCTCCAGCTTGGGACCATTGCCCCTTGTCCTGGCACTGGACATCACTGAGCAGAGCCTGGCTCCTTCCTCCTGACACTCGCCCTTTCCAAATTTATAACAACAAACACCCCATGCTACCAACTCACACTGATTTAACCCATCGCTCAAGCAATGTTTTTCTTCGTGACCTTCGCTGGCTTCAGCAACCTTCGGTCTTCACGGTCTTTGCGGCCTTCGCAGCCTTTGTCAGCTTCGCGGCCTTCATCACCTTTGGCCTTTGCGGCCTTCGTTGGCTTTTGAGGCTTTCATCGGCCTTCGTGGCCTTTGTCGGCTTTGGCCTTCACCACCTTCATGGCCTTTGTCGGCCTTTCGCTGGCCTTCATCGGCTTTGGGCCTTCGTTGGCTTCAGCCTTCACGGCCATCGTTCCCTCCGGCCTTCACGGCCATCGTTCCCTTCTGCCTTCACGGCCATCGTTCCCTTCTGCCTTCACGGCCATCGTTCCCTTCTGCCTTCGTCCCTTCGGACTTTGTTACCATTGACTGTGTCAGTTTCGTGGCCTTCGGCTTCATTGCCTTCATTAACTTTGATACCATTGCTGCACTCAGGCTCCAATTTCATGGGCAAGAGCAGGAGCCGCTGGAGGCGAAGGAGCTGTTCCAAGCTCCTCCAGCGACGCCATCGCTTGCGGGATGTGCACACGTTCGTCGCTGAATCACGGCACTTAATGAGTGGTTACAGCCTAAGTAATGTTTGCCGTGAAACCAGAAAGTCCGGTTCTTGATTAACACCAGGAGGCAACGCTACAGCACCGAAAATACTCCATTTTTCAATTCTCCAGGCTCAGAAATAAACCCTTCCTATGGTTTTTTTATACTGATGTAGTCGTTTAATTAACAGCAAAGCTCACTGAAAGTTCCTCTGTGTCGAGTTATAAAGGAATTCATCAATTTGGAAGCACCCAGTGGTTATGAAAAGTCCTCAGATCCCTGGGAAACCACTCGGGGATGTGCGGAAGAGAAAAAACTCTGGAGGAAATTTAACAAAAAAGCAGAAAAATAGCTTTTCCCCCAATGTAACAGCCTTTCACTCCAATTGAATATCTTTTCCCCCAATTTAATACCTTTCCGCTCCTGTTTAACAGCTTTTCCCCAATTTAACACATTTTCCCGTCCAATTTAATAGTTTTTCCTTCAATTTAACAGCTTTTCCCCTCCAATTTAAAAGCCTTTCCCTTCAATTTAATTGCTTTTCTCCAATTTACCACCTTCTTCCCACCAATTTCACAGCTTTTCCCTCCAATTTAGTGATTTCTCCACTATTTAACAGTTTTCTCCCAACTTAACTGCTTTTTCCCCCAATTTAATAGCTTTTCCCTCCACTTTAATAGCTTTCCCCCAATTTAACACCTTCTTCCCTCCAATTTAATAGCTTTTCCCACCAATTTAATAGTGTTTTCCTCCAATTTAATAGTGTTTTCCTCCAATTTAACAGCTTTTCTCTCCAATTTAATGGTTTACCCACAATTTAATAGCCTTTTCCTCCAATTTAATATATTCCACGCCAATTTAACAGCCTTTACTTCCAATTTAATAGCCTTGTCCTCCAATTTAATATCATTCCCCCAATTTAGTACCTTTTTCCTCCAATTTAACAGCTTTCCCCCAAATTTGTTTTTTACCCAATTTAACAGCTTTTTCCTCCACTTCAACAGCTTGTCCTCCAATTTAATTGCTTTTTACCCAATTTAACAGCTTCTTCCCCCAATTTAACACATTTTTCCCTCAAAATTATCAGCTTTCCCCTCAAATTTAATGGCTTTCCCCCTAATTTAGTAGCACAACGCAGCGGGTGTAGTTGCTTATTTCTTCTCTGGGTGTTTTGGGGAGAAAAGTGACATTTTGGAGGACGCTTTTCCTTTCTACTCCTGCTCCAAGAGCTACGAGGATACCCAAACCCAACACTGTTAAATAAAATAAAAGAGTTTAAAGAAGCTAGCTGGGCAAAATTCTTTCTCCCACAGGAAAAAGTAGGGTTTTTTTTACCATTATTTACCATTTTGGCTTTATTTTTTTGCAGTGACGGCCAACGCGCGCCCTCACCTGCAGTTTCCGCGCCATGGCCACCACCTCGTGGTCGGCGGGGTTGTACTTGTAGCAGTTGGAGAACATCAACCGCACGTCGGCCGCGAATTCCTGAGCATCCCGGTATTCCCGGTTCTCCAGTTTGGACTGGAAAAGGAAATGGAGAGGGGGAAATAAAACAACAAAACTTTTTGGTATTAAAAGTGTAAAGACATCGAATTGATGGAGCGAACAAACGCAGCTCTGGGGGTCCTGCACAGTCATTTTCTCGCTCTGTTGGAAGGAGTTATTTTGGGCAAAAGAACGACTACTTTGGGTCAAAATAATGACTGATCTTGGCCAATAGGAACAACCGATTTGGGTCAAAAAGAAGCACTAAATTTGGGTGAAAAAGAACAACTGATTTGGGTCAAAAGAGCTCCTAAATTTGGTCAAAAGTGTAACTCATTTGGGACAAAAGGACGCCTGATTTGGGTCAAATTACAACCAATTCTTATCAAAAGGAACCACTAAATTTGGGTCAAAACAACCAACCAATTCTGGTCAAAAGAAATCACTAAATTTTGGTAAAAAGGAAATCGATTTGGGTCAAAAGGCGGCCTAATTTGGGTCAAAAATAACAGCTAATTTAGGTCAAATTACAAACGATTGCGATCAAAAGGAACCACTAAATTTGGGTCAAAAAGAATGACTGATTTAGGTCAAAAGGGCAACTAATGTGGGTCAAAGGAAAGCCTGATTTGGGTCAAAAAGAATGACTAATTTGGGTCAAAAGAACATCGAGTTTCAGTCAGAACAATGCCTAATCTTGGTCAAAAGAAACAACCAATTCTGATCAAAAGAAATGACCAATGTGGGTCAGAAAGAAGCACTAAATTTGGGTCAAAAGAGCTCCTAAATTTGGTCAAAACTCTAACTAATTTGGGTCAAAAGGACGCCTGATTTGGGTCAAATCACAACCAATTCTGATCAAAAGTAACCACTAAACCTGGGTCAAAAAGAATGACTGATTTGGGTCAAAACAACCAACCAATTCTGGTCAAAAGGAAACAACCAATTTGGGTCAAAAGAAACTACTAAATTCTGGTAAAAAGGAAACCAATTTGGGTCAAAAGGCGGCCTAATTTGGGTCAAAAATAACAGCTAATTTAGGTCAAATTACAAACGATTCTGATCAAAAGGAACCACTAAATCTGGGTTAAAAAGAATGACTGATTTAGGTCAAAAGGGCAACTAATTCAGGTCAAAGGAAAGCCTGATGTGGGTAAAAAGAACGCCTGATTTTGGTCAAAAAGAATGACCAATTTGGGTCAAAGTAACCTCTAATTTCAGTCAGAACAACGCCTAATCTTGGTCAAAAGAAACAACCAATTCGGGTCAAAAAGGATGCCAGATTTGGTTGCAAAGGATGCTTGATTTGGGTCAATAAAAGCGCCTGATTTCAGCCAAAAGGAGCCACTAAATTCTGGTCAAAAGAAACCAGTAAATTTGGGTCAAAAAAGTGCCTAATATTGGTCAAAACCACTAGATTTTGGTCAAAAGGAACGACTGATTCTGGTCAAAAGGAACTCCCAAATTTGGGTCAAAATGAATGCCTGTTTTGGGTCAAAAGAAACCACTAAATTTCGGTCAAAAGGAACAACCTATTCTGATAAGTAAGAACCACTAATTTTGGCCAAAAAGTACCACTAAATTTGGTCAAAAGAATGCCTGATTTTGGTGAAAAGGAATGACTGATTCTGGTCAAAACCACTAAATTTTGGTCAAAAAGAAATGACCACTTTGGGTCAAAAAGAACCACTACATTTGAGTCAAAAGGAATGCCTGACACGGGTCAAACTGCGACGGATTTGGGTCAAAGGGTACCACTACATCTAGGTCAAAAAGAGCGCCTGATTTGGGTCAAAAGAACGCCTGATTTTGGTCAGAACAACACCTAATATTGGTCAAAAGAAAGCACCAGATTTGGGTAAACAGGAAGCACTAAATTTGGGTCCAAAGAACGACCGATTTGGGTGAAAAGGACGCCTCATTTTCATCAAAAGAACAACCCATTTTTGTCAAAAGAAGACCTAATTTCGATCAGAAGAAGGCCTAATTATAGTTAAAAGAACGACTGATTTGGGTCAAAAAGAAATGATCGATTCAGCTCAAAAGAAAGAAACTTGTGTGCCCCAAGGGTCAGTACTGGGGCCAGT